AAGCATTTACAACAAAATAATTGATTTTCAATTAGCAAACTCAATTGGATGTTTACTAGGCTTTACTCCACGGCAATAAAAGTTATGTCTCTGACATGTCTATGGCCATTCTTAAAGTGAACGCTTTACGTGTTAAATGTAACATAAAATCAGAAGCTCATAATAATCGACATAAGGGTCATAATATTCACGAGTTCTTTTCTGCTGAAACACTAGGCTGCAAAATAATTGAAATGAACAAACAGATTATATATCTACCTTTGTCAATGACCGTGATCGTTTAAAATTCTGTTCGGTAGATCAAGAGGGAGAATTGATAAATCTTCGAGATGAACTTATCACGATTCGTTTACATATAAAAAGATTTTCGTAATGGGAATAGTTCACAATCCTAAAGTAGTGGCTATATAAATACTCCTTTATGTACTCTGAAAGTCAATGAGCGATATCTATTCAAAAGACTAATACGATAAAATATACAGTTCCTGAAGTTTCGGCCTAAACGGAATCGTAAACGCCATTCATAAGGAAAGACAGTCCATTATCGATTTTCTTTAAACTTTGCATTCGTGTAGGGTGTCAAAAACTATTGAATACGTGTTATTTTTAGCGGTCCATATGGTAATTTCGAGGATAAAACTGTGGTTAACAATTATATATACTTACCGTGTATTTCAGTGCGTAAGTTGATGAGACGTTAAATTCAAATTATCATATCTCGTTGAAAAAAAGTGATATCTGAATGATTCAAAATTTATTTTGAAGAACAAAGTTCATACTTTGAAATGCATTGATTAATTTTACCGAAAAAAATTATCTTTCGATGTTACATAATCTCAACTATGTGTACAAATTGTATTTTTTACACTTTTAATGTAGTACGTAAGGAATCTTGAATTTTTAAAATATTTATAATATTTCTTTTGACATTTCTTTTTCATTCTTTACAAATAAAAAATGTGATTTTGGGTCCGATTTCTAAAATTGTCTCAAACCTGGCCCAACATTAAATTTCAAATGTTAACCTTTGTTATTTATCGTAGATTCGAGTTCTGGAGGAAATTGCACATCCAAATATGATATCTAATTTCCATGAAAAAGTTTACATTTTAAGATCAAAATGTTTTTCTGAATAGGACAATAGTAATTTTATTTTTAGTTAAAAATTCTTCTAAAAAAAGTATTATTGCATAGTTGTCAGCTTATAATTATTAGTATTATTATTTTTTGTTTTAATTAGAGTGGGATCAAACCAGGGTAATCTGCAACCAGATTATCACCGGTGTCGTTAATGGTAGCCACAGCTATCCGCTCCTAGCAACCGGTGGTATGACGGGTTCCTTGAATCTTGATGCATAGATAAAGATCAGGAGACCATCTAAACTTGCCATTCGAGCGACCCAAAAAGGATACAAAAAGATGCATCTATTACGGGGTGATCAAATGGAACCTACTTATGTTTGACCTGCAACGTGGAACCACTTTCATATTACCTCTCCGTTGATGCTCTTGTCCAATCGTCCGTCTGTATCGTAGTTATTCGCATCTTTTTGATCCATCTCATTCATCCATACGCACTCTCCTTTCTTTCTCTTATCCACTCTATTTCTTTTATTCTCCGTATATTTGCTCGGGTTCTAGGCATCCTTCTGCCTTCTTACGCTTCAGGACGGTTTCGATGTACACCGTCACCGCCTCCTAATTTTATTTACTCTATAGCATCCTCGCCACAGTATTTTTAGGCATAAGGATGTCTATTTTATGTTCCACTTATCGTCTGTGTTCGTTCCAGTGTCTGCACTCATAAAATGTGTACTGTGCGTTATCCTTGTCGTGTTCGTAGTTCTTGTATGATGGACTGTCTACTTTGTTGCGTTTGTATAAGTAGTATCTGAAGTATATGTGTCCGTTAAGGAGCTGGGTAAGGTAAAAGACCAGATCTATTAGGATCACTCCTGCCACGATCAAAACGGTCTCAGAGTCCACGATCAACGTCCTGTATATGCTCGCGGTTCTCTCTGTACCCCCTATCTCTGTACGTTAGTTAGCTGTACTAGGTATTTTTTAACGTCTAACGCGTCAGCACAAATCTCTGCGCCGTATAGTAAAATCGAGTAGGTCGTTGCCACAAACAGTCATTTCTTCCATTGTCTCGATACGTACATATTCGTCATCAGGCGGCAGAGATAGAAATCTCCCTCCATCGCCCTGTCGACCGTCTCTTGTATGTGTGGCCAGAAAACCAGTTTTGAATCGAGGGTTACCCCTAGGTACTTTACCTTGTCTCTGATCATGATATGTGTCTCCTCTACGGACATTAGGATGAGAATTTCGATCCTCCTCTCCATCAGCAGGATTAGTTCCGTCTCGGTCAAAGCCAGCGTCAGTCCGTGCTGAGTCAGCCATCTGTTGATCCTTCTCATAGCTTTATTAAGTAGCAGTTGAGTGAGTTCTGAGTTATGTGTGGTTATCACCACAACTATGTCGTCGGCGTAGGCAACTAGTTTAATTTCCTTTGGCATCTCGAGTTTTAATAGTCCGTCATAAACTAACGCTAGTTTCGTGTACGCTAGATTTACACACTCGGAATATTATTCAGGCGTCGACGAATTCACGCCTTCCGAATCCATCCCTTTTTAAATAATTTGTGTAGATAGACGCGGGTATAAACTTCTGGATAGTCAGTCGAATTTTTCCGTTACAGTATGAAATGACCATTTTTGTCTATGAATTGGACTAGACGGAGCAAATGGCTACAGCTAAAAAGAGCAGAAAGAAAGGTCCTTTTTGGTGCAAGGAAAGAATCACTGAGGACTTGAGTGCTCGGTATGAGCAGTTGAGAAGACGAAAATTGGCCCTATGGGTCATCCTCTGCACGTCTTAGATGCGATAGCTGTAACAGTGATTGCTAGAAACCTTTCTTCGATAGCACCATCGGTGACATTGCCGTCTGCAGTGGCGATGTTATCGATCAATGTTCGTGACCAAGTAAGGGCAGCCGATTTGCATCGCGAATATTTTCTATTTCGCCCACCCTCCCTTATTCGCACTCTATATTCCCTATCGCGATCGCTCTTCAGTATATGCACGCACCAGTCTCCATGCGCGCGCCTAAACGAACATCTATTCGTCACGATTTGAGATTGTGAGATTTATATTTAAGCATTAAATTTAATTTATGGATAATTGATATGGATAATAATTTGCAAGAATGAGGATATGCAGTTGATAAATCGTTTTGAGAACATAAAAGGCTATATTTTGAAATTATTAGTACCAATTGATGATTTTATAATCATCTGTGAAACTGAAATTCATATTATTGTCTTAATATTTATTTAGAAGAGAGAGAAAGTCAATAAAATAAAATGAAGGAATATACATTTTTATCGTTTGTTGATTGTAAATTAAGGTATGCAGGCAACAAAAACTAACTATCAAAATATTAAACCAATTAAATTCGAAGAATGTTCACTGGTGTTTCTAATATAGTAACCACTATCATTAATAAGTACATAAAGTTTAGTATTGTATAATAGTATAATAGATTGATACATTTTATTAATCATTGGTTCAATTAATCTTTTGAATAGTTTTTTCGATACATCTTGAAATGAATAAAAGTTCATCAATTTTTGTTAAAAAATAGGTACAAGTCTATTTTCATTTATCATTGAATATTAATAAATGTAGTCTATTTCAAACTGCATAGGTTGTTCATTTCTACGAGAATCTCCAAATTAACATATAAAGAGTTTAAATGTTGTAATAAATATCACATCATATTATAATATAAAATTGTTATTATTTATTTTTGGATAATAATGGCAAAAAGATTTATAGTTTGGAAAAAAGAACTTGGAAAAAAAAATTTGGTAAAATTGTCGGCAAATTACCAGATATTCAACAAATTATATCAAGGCAGATGATCAAATTTATTGATTTACTAAAGCATTGGCATTGTTATGAGATGTCCGGGATTATAAAAAGTCTGGAAATACATCAAAAGCTTTATACTTTGCAATCAGTTACAAAAACTAGATATTTTAGTAGTACCTACTTCAAATATATTAAACAGATATATTATACTGCAATAAACTGTACATATGAGATTCCAGGGTGTTGTGTTTGAGAATACAAATATTATTTTAATTTACATGATCCAAATAAGTCAGAAACTTACATTTCACATTATAATTTCAAATATAATATTTCATATAAAAATAAAGTGCTGATTTTCCAATCTATATGAGGTTTAAGACAATAAAAGCAAATAAAGTATTTTAAGCTACAATTCAAAAGATTGACAAAATTTAATTACATAAATTTACAGTCTGATACAACCTATTATTATTATTTCTTTAAGAACAAAGTTTATATAAAACGCTGCAAAGGTATCTGTATGCATTAGTCTTAATTCCTTAGTCATTAGCATTTAGCTCTCGTGCCATTTTTAGAATATTTTTTATAATCATTTTCTTAATACATTTATTTAAAAAATAATTCACATTAATTAATATATTTGAAAAAATAACAAGAATTGGCTTGGTCTGAAATATTAGATTCTACATATTCTAACTTGATTTTCTTTAGTTCTTAAAGATTTTGATTAAAACAATCAAATTATAAGAACAGTTTACTTATATTTCTTTAGTATATAATATTTGAACAAAGAAGTCACTAGTGCTGTCATTTTTAATAGTATACATAGTAATATCACTGAATCAATAAGAATCAATTGTAGCATTTATAAATTGAATTTTATTTACAAGGTTATACACATTTATAAGCTATTTTCAAAAGCAATTAAGTCTTTTTTCAACTTAAGTAAAATTATGTTGTTGTTGCTTTTTTCATTTTTATAAGAATATATAAGAAGAATATTACTATTAATGTAAAATACAGCTTAAAAACTTGGATATTAATATGGTTTTTGGTGTTTCTTGATAAGGATATTATAGAAACTCTCGTGTATAACAGATTAACTAATATTTAATTACCTGAAAAGCTTCTTCAAACTCGTCAATTAAGTTACCATTTCCATTTGTAGAGGTTGTCATTATAAAATAAACTAAATGTTATTTTTGAATATTCAAACATTTAAGTCAACAAAAATTATGTTTCAATTCACAGTAGTTTATTGTTTTCTTTTTTCTTCGAAAACTCATGAAATCCATCATTATGACACAAAATAGATGAAATATTTTTAATTTTCATATTAGCCAGAGATAATATGAGAGATTGCTGACGCCTGACGGCAATCTATAAGAGCGTGTCCGGCCGAAGCCACTGGTTTGAGCGCCCCGTCGCGGCCAAATGGTCGAACCTAACGCATAGTTTGAGTTGAGCCATGGAGGGGGCAAGAGACCGTGCGTCGGCGAGAAGGAGAAGAGGGGAAAGCAATGCGTGTGCGTTTGGCTAGCTTCGGCTGTAGAGAGGGAGAGAGAGAGAGAGAGCGAGAAGGAGAGGCGGAGCAACGGTAGCAGTATGTCCCTGCTTGCTTGAAAGCTATTTTGACTTTGGCGAGCTTGACGGTCTGCCGCGCGCATCGTACTATACTATTAATACGATGCTTATCTTTATGCGTTTTACAGGTTTATCGCGGAAAAATGTTGCCGATAATTATATCCTAAGCCCAATTACTCCAATTCCAAGCTCAAATGCTAATTCCCAAGCTCCCGCGCTTTTCTATGAACATATGTAACTTCCATACTATACATTTTCAGTGTGCTGGTAGCTGAGGTGGCTAAGGCGCGCACTCGTCCACTTTGTTTTTGCTTTCGCGGGTTCGAGCCTCGCTTGATCCACTTTTTTTTTTCGATTGAACAGTTTAATTTATATTTTAAATATGATACAGTATTATTTTAAGTGATTATTATGTATCTATTGTAACTGCAAGATATATTAATAAAAAATCGATTGAACATTATAAATAGCGTGTTTCCTGATTATTGAAAGGGCGTGAGTTACTATAGCAATTGTATTTTCGAATGTCCAAACATGTCACCAATCCAATCACCAATCAAATAGATATAGTCCAGTTGAATTAGCACAAAAAAGTTTGAAACATGGATGTGAGAGGTGGACGAAATATTATTGCTCAAATTGCTCGAAAATGTTATATTGAACTACGTGGTATACTTTGCACCTCAAACTTCGCGGTGCGTTTTGCAACATATATGCACTTGCATGCCCTTTATTTAAATAAACCATATTTTTTTATGTAATAAAAATCAACAAAAATTATAACAACCAGAACTAGTAAAACTATGACAAAGGAATTAAAGTAGTTTGATATCCGTATTTCTCACGATTCACTATACCAAATTAAAAAAAAAACGTCAAAATTGGTTGATTAGAAGCCAAGATAAATAGATGTAAATAGCGCGCAACGATTTTAAACTCGCCGATTTAGTTGTTGGTCGGCGCGCCAGTTCCTCCCACCACTATCACTTTAGCGTCGGAGAGCAGATTTTTCTCTTCTTTTCATTATTCTCTTCTTTTCATTCTTTTAAATATATACAAGTTAAGTATTTTTTTTTTAAAGATGTATAAAGTAATTGCTTCAACAAATACAACGGTATTATTACTTTTTTTTTTGCAAAATTATTGTTCAATAGCCTCGAATAGCTACTTGACTTTGATACTTCATAACTCTGAATAAAATTATTTAAATTGAGCATGTGAGACGTTAAAAGATTTCTTTTTTAAAATACTTCACAGTGAATATTTCAAATTTCGATTTCATCAAAAAATCGCGTAGATATTGCATTTGTTATTAACATAAAAATCGGTCGGTTTTTTCAAAAATTCATACGGGTTGATAAATGAAAAAAAAAGGTCTATTAAATCACGGGATATGATAGTTTGAGTCTTGAAGTACATGGAAATAAATCAAGACCACTTTCAATGGCCTCTGAATAAATCTATGTTATAGCAAAAAGGTTTATCTCATTAAGCATCAGCCTTATAAACGTTTGCGATAACTCAATAACTGAAAAAGGTATCGAAATGATTCTCTTTTCGTTTGATTCGTAACAATGGACGTTTTCAAAAAGTAAATTGTTAATAAGGTGCACTAATATTGTCCAGTTAAATTTCGAGTGCAAAAAAAAGCCTTTTTGTAAAATTTTTTTTATTTATTTCGCCATTAAGGCTGGTGAAAATGAATTTTACAACTTTGAACTATATCATTTTATAGCAAATTTCACGCTCTACAACTTCACTGTCATGTATATTTGTCGTATCTATCATATTTTATGAGTAAAATGGGAAAATGTGTCGAGAAAAAGCCATTTAGTATACCACGTTGTTTACTATAACATTTTCGAGCAATTTCAGCAATAATATTTCTTCCACCTCTCACATCCAACTTACTCACTCACGTGTTTTTTTCGAACAGATATCAAACACGACAAGGGGAAGGAGAAGATATATATATATATATATATATATATAAATTACAGGCTTCATAAATTGTTCAATATACATAGAACTTCTTTTTCTTGGCAATCATTGTAAATGTTGCAAAATTTTTTTAATTTCAGGCAATACAATTCGACACTTTGCTCCATCGTCTGTGCGTACTGCTAACATCTGTGCAAGACACTTCCGTGATACAGAAGATTACAAATGGAGCGAAAAAACTCAGACGTTCGAGTTGAAGAGCGAAGCTGTGCCGATTCACTGGGAATCACCTCGAGCTCAAGCTGAAGTTGTGCAGCCGATGCTACCGCCGTTGCAGTAAATGGAAGTTGCGGTAGTACAAGTGGAACCAGTGTCAATGGACACTATTGAGGACCAACAACCATCTATTCAACAGCCAGAACCGATGACGATCGACAGTGAGAGAATATTTGGCAAAAACGTAAGTGAAAAACGAGATGCTGCAGATGACAATTTTCCTGAAATGTCAGATAATATCATTTTTCGTAGACATCCAAATGATGCAAAATACCCTTCTGGTAAAGATATATTTTTTAATATTAATGAAGAAGAATCTAACGGAGCTTATTTGAATTTTGAACTAGTAAAAACTAACAATACTAATAATGAAACCACTGCTAAAACTAATACACACAAGGAAAATTGTGCATCTAGGCATGAAAATACTATAGGATTAAGAAATAAGAAATTTTCATGTAAAGAATTATGTTCTTCAGAGTGTGCACAGAACACTCGTTTTTTGCATCTTAGAATACAAAACTTAGAATCGTTAGTAAAAAAATTGAAAGATGAAAAGAAAGAGCTATAACGAGCCGCATTCTCATTATGTCTCTCTCTCCCTGCAGCCAGTTTATTTATTAATCATATTTATACCATACCATGCATTATAATAATTTGTAATTTGTAGCGCAGTTGGAATGTCAGCGAACAAGGTAAGAGTCGAGCCCTACGAACTATACTATCGATAGTCTTTAGCGCGGATGTCGCGGAGTGACCGCGATCGCGAAGGGGAGAGAGAAAGAGAGCGCGTAATGAGTCAGTTGGCATGCGAGCAGAGACCGGTACGGACGCTAGCTTAGTCTGACAGCAACATCTTTGTTTTGCGTTACGAGAGATTACGGAGGAGTAAGCGAGTACGCAGAGGCGATTATACAAGCCCGAAGATCGCCAGTGAAGAGCGAAGACTCATAGTGAATGCTGACAGGAATTCCGTCAGCTATAAAGCTTGGAAGCGAGAACGCCCGCACGAGCGTAGACTAAGAGTAAGCGTGGTCGCGATCTATTGTACGCGCGTTTCTATCGTTCTAACAACCGACGACAACAACTGTAAGTACCTACTCGATTTTTTTCTCTCTCCTTTGCCTCTCTCTCCTATTGCTTGCGAATTGCATTTGTTACTTTAGCTTTTCGCCCAACCTACGCACTCTGTCATTTTGCTCGGCATTGCGTCTTGCCTCGAGCCACTTTAAGCGAATCCGTTGTCCGATCTTGCTCGGTCGCTGACAAGATCGGCGCGTTGCGTTTTGTTGTCGCCTTGTTCGCTGCCGCTCACATTTCGTCAACACGCGCGCTTGCATGTACTCGCGAGTGCCTAAATACACGATTCATTTCTACCAAAATCCGCAGTGTCTTATTCCGATACACCTGCCTTATTGCATAACTACTTCGCAGCGAGACTCTTTAGGTTGTCTCTCGCCAAGTGACCTGTAGCTCACGACACTCTCCGCGGACCGAATTTCTACGTAAGGAAGGAGGCAAGCTGATGCAGCTGGACCCAAGCACTGTTCGCGCTGGCGTACAGGGTCGCCTTGGATAGTGCACTTCGCTTTATTAAAATATTAATCCGCGAGAATTATTTATTTATATAGCTGATTTAGCCCGAAAAAAGCTCGAGCTAAAACCCCGTTATAGAGCTTATTAGGTTAAAGAAAAATTTAGGAATGTAAAATATTAGATTAAAAGCCTGCGTTAATGTTCAAATTAAAAATAAAATTGAAGACATTTATGATTTGATGACTCTCTTGAAAATAATGACGTTGAAAAATAACGTCATTGGTCATGTCAGGATTTGGGACAAAAATCACGTCATTTTTTTTTAAATTCAATTTGACTGAAGCAAAATGATGTCATTTTCCCCAATTTATTATTTCAAATCGAATAAAATGACGTCATTAATTTCCTACGATTGACGTATTTTCATAAAATGACGTACGTAAAATACGATTGATGTATTTTCATAAAGTTTATGCTCGCAAATAACGTCTTTTCGGAAAGTGACGTGATTCTCCATGCATTTTTACTATTGTGAATAAAATTACGTCATTTCTTCCGTACAATGTAATATTTACGAAAATTGATGTTATTATCGGAACATCATTATTTCGAATCAAACTTGTCTTAAAAAATAACGTTAGTTTCTGTATATGTAAAAAATTTATTTATTTAATATAGTTTATTCTTTTGGATAATAATATTTACTATTTTCCAAATACAATTTTTGTTGTGTAATACAAATATACATTGCTCAATAAGAGTATACATTTGGAATTGGACTCAAGTATCTTTCATTATTACAATTTATATACACGCAAACTTTGTCTAAAGTATTGGTATTGATAGCTCTCTTTCTTGATTGATAGTTGTTATTCTTTTAATGGGAAATTCACGAAAATTATCATCATTTTGAATAATATCTGTTACATTAACGATTTTACATATAGTATATTCCTGCATGTTCATTCTGTCGACGATAAAAAAAAATATTTGTACAAAAATATTATCGATTGTTTTTGCGAATGAA